AGGTCACTGTGATGTACTTATGGTTTTTTATAGCTTTATTATTAAAAATATTTTCAGTCCTAATTGGCTAAGAATCATCAGACTTTGTCAGTTGATACAACTTGGATCTTAGAATACTTAAGGTTAGAGGCTCCAAGTAGAAGTGATAGATTGTACAATTTATCAGAAGAGCGATTCAAGGCCCTTGGGCCTCTTGTTGTCTTCATCATGTTTATATTAAGGTCAAGATCTAGTAAATGTCTTTAGACTAACTTTTTGATTATTGCTAAATCATTATTAGTGCTAAATCCATTATGATGTCATAATCACGTTAAATTTTTTTTCTTCCGTACTTTACCGCTCTAATAGAATTTTGTAGAAAATAAAGTAATTTCATGGAAATCAATTTGAAATTACATGAAAAGTAGTACCGATACCATATTAAATTTAACATCATTTTAATGAAGAGGCCATGAACATACAATTTATTCTTTTCTGACAGAATGTAGGCAATCTGGATTCATTTTCTTTGTCCGACATGGAAAAAAATCCCATATTCATGACTGGTTAAATTCTTAATTTACCATTGAAAATGACAGTTTCAAATATGGTTTTTCATCTTGTTTTCCTACAAATTATGCCCCGAAACACCTTATTTGACCAAGCCAAAGTTAGAAAGCATCATTATAGGAATATATTTCTCAAATTTGATAAATCTGTAGGCACCTTTCATTTACTAGATCTTGACCTTAAGTAAATAAGGAGACCTAAATGCTTTTTTTTTTGTTAATTAGCCATTAATGGTAACTGGTCTCCCTGGTCTCCATGGGGTACTTGCTCAGTTACCTGTGGGGAGGGTACCAAATCACGGACAAGAACCTGTACTAACCCACCACCAAGTAACGGAGGAACCAGCTGTCCGGGACAATCACAAGAGACCACCAAATGTACAGAAAAACCATGCTCAGGTATAGTGGTATAAATTCTACAGTCTTACAAAAATATGTTCTAAAATTTTCTGTCGTCCCAACATGAGCAGTTAAAACAAACAAACTATCATGCATTGATTGGATAATACTAATAGCAACCATTTGAAATAGATGAGAGAAAAAGTTTCTATACCTTTGATGGATACTATTTATAACAACTATTTTAAAAAGATATAATAATAAAAAAAATATTCTTTACATTTATATAATTCTGCAGTTAAGGTCAAGCTAAAGAGCATTCTTGTTTTTAAATTTTCTGATGGAGGTTAGAATTTGACAAGTGTTTAAAGGATTGATCTAATATTTCCATGAAGGGCCCAGAGACAGAAAATATTTATAAAAAATAATAAAGGACATTAAAATTTCTGTTTCAATCATGATAGGTGAAGGCAAATATAAACAATTCCAATAATGTACTAGTATGTAACTCCCGTAATCATTTTTGTCGTGAAATCATAGATGATGATTGCAAAATATATTCCCTTTTTCAGATGAAAAAAAAAATTCTAGATATTCTAGATATCTTTTGTTTGACTTTATAAAGGTGTTGGTGTCTGTGTTAAAAGTTGTATGAACCTCCCAAACGGACATTACCAATCCTGTGAATCGTGTAGAAAGTATGTTACCTGCAGTAATGAGAATATGTATGACAGGGATTGTCCCGGTGTCCTTGTCTGGGATGATGTAGCCAAACAGTGTCTGTACACATCAACCACGTGTAACATTCAGACCCCACTGTCATCAGGTAACATTTCACCTCATTCATTATTGTAAAACAATTTTGCCTCATTATGAAACATACAAACAATCATACGATGGCAATATTTTAGAGACTTTTAGAATGAAGAGAGCTGTGGATCAAAACATGAAGCATTCCTCAATAGTGGGACAATTCCAGGGATATAACTGGACCATTTTGATTTCAAGTGCAGTTGGAGGCGTAGCTATCGTGGCGCTTGTTGCAGTGGCTATTAAATTGGTATTCATGCTCTTATATATCACAGGAAAATATATCCATTGGGATCTAGATGCATATTTAATATAGCTAATGTATTAAAGAGAAAGACTTGATTCGAACACTAACTAATAGTTCTGCAGTCTTAAAGGGTATTTCTTGACATTTTTAAAATATATACCAACAACTATGAAAAAATATTTATGAACATTTAAAACTAAATAATAAAACGTAAATGTGCCATATTTTCAAAAAATATTTTTTATATTGCATAGGACCAATCCTTTCAGGATTTTTTACATAATATTTGTAGATTATGAAGAAGAACTAATCAAAGCCCCAAAAGTGAGGATGATTCTTGCAAAAAAGGAAAATTAATTTTCCCACAATTCAAAGAGATTCGTTTGGAACAGTTGTATTTAAATCTCATTCTTGTCTGGCATGCATTTGATAAGAACCATGTAATGTAACAAATATTATTTTCTTTCTTCATATCCCTAACAAAGCAAAATATGACTTTGACTTTTTGAATAGAAAGTGTAAAAACATCCCATTTTTGTGCATTTTTTTTCCATAAAGCATTCTAAAAATATACAATCTATTTGATGGTTTAATTGAAAGCTGAATTTTATTTAGTCTATGGAGGAAAATTTCTATAAGTATAATTTACATGTCCATATGGTAAATTGGTAATACTAATTAGGACATCTTAAATTTTTAACGGATTTATCATATTACATGTAAACAGTTGAATTAATGTTAATTTTGGTTATTTCGTACATAAAATGAAAATCTACCGGTATTGCACAATTCAAAAGATTTTAATTTTTCCCCCTTATTCAGCATATTATTTCTTTTTTATGATAAAAATATCTTGCTTATTTTGTACAAGACAATAAATATTAATATTTACATTTGCTGTGTTTTTCTGCATAACCAACTATATACAAAATAAGAAGTCGATTCGTTTACAAATGGTTTTTCTTTTTCAATTCCATACAAAAAATGGTGTGTATTTTTAGTGTGTCTGAATTAAATCATACGAATTTTAATACTAGTGTTTTAAAATTGAATCCTGTCCGGTAATTAAAAGAGTGATGTAAATTATATTAAAGATTTTCTTTAAATCTGTTAAATAAATGCATATTCCATTTTCCTTCTAAAAGGAGATAAGAAACAAGTATTCAAGAACAAAACTTCTGAAACAATACAAATCAGGAGCAGAGCAAACACGGACTTTTAAGACGTCTGACGTTGGATTAAGTGCCATGGAAGATTGAGCATCCCCTGTCGATCGGTCACACCAGTCGTGTGCTTATTGTCATAATCAGGAAACGACGTCATAAAAGACATTTGTCCTGCGGAAAGTCTCTGAATCATTTTTCCCCCCAAATTCTGAAGAGCACTTGTGTTATTTTTTTTTATATTTGTTCGTTTAAATAGAAAGGTTGTTTTAAAACAAATATATATATTGAAGCATGTTGACAGTATTCAAAGTTTACAAATTTGTCTTAGGTAATAATTACAAAATACACAGTCTCATCGGGAAAATGTTTCTTTTTATTGTCAGAGGATTATCTTTATCCTTATCGAAAATATCATTGAAACATATGGAGATAACGAACAGTATTCAAGATCAAAGGTCCATAAAACAATACAAAATAAGAGCAGAACAAACACGGATATCCGGGACATCAGTGTTGGGATCAGGTGCCATTGAGGAGTGAGCATCCCCTGCTGACCGGTCACACCCGCCGCGTGCTCCTTGTCAAGACTAAGATCACATTTTCCATATCTGTCCTTAACATAGCTGAGTAGTCATTCAGATGAGACTCATGAATATCTTTCGTGTTATGACAAGGACCATACGGCGGGTGTGGCCGGTCGGCAAGGGATGCTTACACTTACATGGCACTTGATCACACCTCTGATGGTTTGAAGGTCCGTATTTTGTCCGCTCCTATTTTGCATGACGTCTATTTTATGGACATCTGAGCTTGAATAATTTTTGTAATCCTCAATAAATATAAGGAGATATATGTACTCCTTGTCATGATTCGGAAATAACGGGGAAAATTCGTCGTCAATTCAGTGTGTAAATAATGTATTACATGTAACAATTAGTATGAAAAATGTCAGTCAGCATTGACTCAATCATAAATTGTATTTGCTGACATGGTCATTGAATCCAACATGAACTAATATGATGCATTGAAAGGAGACTGTTGATATTCTTGTTTCTCTTACTCGTTTGTCAATAATTTACCTCGTTGTAGAAAATGTACATACTTGGAACATGATTTTGCGTATCGAATCAACCAGAGAAACATGTTCAATAAAGAAAACTAAATATGCGTACTACTTGTAATGTGTTCGAGTATAAGGGTTACTTAATAGATAATTCCTTGCAGGTTGTTTGAGAATAATACCATCATTTGAAGTAATTCAATGTAATGTCTTTTATTTCATTATCTCTTATGTACTATATGAACTATTAATTTTTGTTACTTAAAAGGAGTTTGTGTGCGCTTATTATAAGAGACTCTTTTAATTTTCTCACACATTAATATTAAGTGGAAGTCAATAGGATTCAATTTAAGTTATTATATTTTATCATGATGTTTAATATCTAATACAGACCATTATTCTCACATATCTTATTAGAACCTAAAGGATAGTTTATATATAGCTATCGATGTCCTTTTTGTTTTTTTTGTTTTTTTTTTTTTTACATTTGAATCCACCCCCTTCTTTTTTTTTTAGATGAGCCTGGGAGTCGTGTTCATGGAGCGGTGATTCTGGGGATTTTCCGGGACAATTAGTATTCCAGGTGACACGTTGTACCACGTTGAACCAGCGTACAGATTCTACGGTCTCAACCAAGCACAGAAATTACTCTACCACTCTGTAATTTATAAGGAAGAACACCTTGTCTTAAACCCATACCAGTAATTCTCATGATTTTGCTCCTATCGCTAAAATAAAGAAAATAATATAAAAGTTCTAAAATGTAACTGTTTGACAGACTTTTTTAAAAGAGAATATGGTTATATATTTTGCCAAAGATGAGTACATTTTTCACCATCTTATCACATATTATATTTTTCCATTTTGATAAAGATACACAGAAGGTATAAAGGCCGGAACAGGAAATTGCGCTGTTGACAAATATCATGAATGGATGCTCCACCAAACCGAGACTGAGGTTGATTTACGTAGAAAACGGGTGAGTATTCGATAGAAATCAATGAAATAATAGTGCTCTATTCAATAGATTTCGATGCTAAGTAATAAACTGATATCGAGTTTTATAATCAAATACTTCACAGTTTAGTGTGATAAACTTCCTTAATATAAATTATTTAAAGTGACATTTATGGCTAAGAATCACCTGTATTTGACGTTGCCATGAAATTATACTGTATGCAATTTTATGAATTATCTACATGCCATGTTCCTCCTACAAATTACGTGAAAATTAGAAAATGTACATGTATTTTTTTAGCCTCTTGGCACCTACTTAGTAAATGTTAGTTTATTTAATTCCTGGCGTAAATGATTTACTTTATACAGCTTGTATTATTTTTATACCAAAATAAGAACAAAAAATATCAACCAATTAAGAATCTACTATTTTGATTTTTTAGTACATATATACTAGGGGTGATCAAGAAGTTCGCGAACTAATTGAATAACTTACATAAAACAATTAAAATGTGAGATTTTAGTGGACTTAATTGATTCAAATTGTCCGCTCCGACTTAAATTGACATCTGCCAACATTCTGCCAACATTCTGTACATGTACAAATCACGTGATCTATGCAGTCATGTGACATGCTTCTTTGCATTCTATTTACATAAGCTAAAAATATTCCAAGCATGATGTCTAAGGAAAGTTATTTAAAACGTTTTGAATAACATGTTTAGATTAACTACAGCCATAGGGAAAACCACAACAAGTATTCTTCAGAGATCAACGATCCCACGACTCAGGAAGACGGGCGGCCGCAGAGGAAACTTGTGATAACTCACTACCTAACACCTGTAACCTGTACCTGAGATCAGACCCAGTATTATACAACAAATTCAACGCCGATCTTGGCAACAATGTAATTCTCATCACCTCTCATCTTATTGATAAAAAAATATTTCTTTTATGATTATTGACTGAAATTATGTTTTTACATTGCTAAAAACAGCAATAAATCTAACAGTCTGAAACGTTTTTGGGTGAAAGATGGCCAATGTTTCAAAAAAATGTTAAACGTCATATCATACAGATCATTTCACAGCTATTTAAGGAGTTGATATAAACATTTATTTTCAGAATGAAATCGCAGCCAAAAACGAAATTCTATCCTTATTCAGCAGCCATGTTAACGCATTGAATGAAATTTTCCGCCGAACAAGACTGAAATCCACGTCTAAAACCCCTTGTTTCGTTCAATTTCAAATCCAGCGGACAACGGTAAATAAGATTTGTACTTATCATTTAATTGCAAAAAAGGATTTGTCTTATTTCTAAACTCTCCGTTTACAACATTGAAAGTCTGCCATTATATGTTTTAAACGTTTAATATTTAATGTTAAAATACTGGTCGTCTTTTAAACCTCTGTGCTTGGTCTTTTTTTTTTTTGGTAACATCGTTGTTATTTGATAGACTGATCATCATAAATGTAAAATATCCAAATCTGTTTAGATTTAAAACAGATAAAAAGATGTCTTTTTCAAATCTTTTTACAATGGATTAGAAAACCATTCCACTTGAAGGCGTATCTATGGTGTAATATTAGAACGAACTATTCTAGTATGACCCAGTTTACCTCCTTTTATCTGTATAGTATTTCATGTTGGGTGGTTGTATTTCATTCATAAAAATGTCTTCAGTTGAAGACCTCGCCTAAAAAGAATTTTAAACAAGGCATCATTTTCACTCTGTTGATATTTTTCATTTTTTTTTCAAATATTCCCAACAAAATGCTTTAAGAAACACATGGAGAAAACGAACAGCATTCAAGATCAAAGTCCATTAAACAATACAAAATAGGAGCAGAGCAAACACGGACCTTTAAAATATCGGAGGTGGAATCAGGTGCCATGGAAGAGTGAGCATTCCCTGCTTACCGGTCACACCCACCATGTGCTCCTAATTGTCAGGATCGGGAAATAACGGAAAAATCCGCCGTCAATTCAGTGTATAAATAATGGACTAACAGTTAGTGTGAAAAATGTCAGTCAACATTTGACTTAATGATAAATTGTATTTGCTGACATGGTCATTGTATCGACCTTGCAACTTAAGAAATTATGACTTTAAACAAGACTGCAGATATTCTTGTTTCATCACCTTGTTCGTCAGTGATATTACTCGTTTTAGATATTGTTCATAGGCAGAGCATGCTCTTGCGTATCGAATCATTTGAGTTGAAAAATTAAGGTCATCGCGTTTATCATAGGATTACCACTGACTGCTTTTTCAAGTAAAATATCCAAAAATGAAACAGATGTTTATCTCAAACCCAATAGTTGTTAATTGACAAACGTCGCCGATATATCTAAATGTCGAGTTGAAGGCCGCAGCAAGTGTTTTCTTCTTTTCACGAACAAGATTTTGCACAAATTCTACTTTATATGAATATAAAAATAGGTCAGCTAAAAAAAGGAACAACTAACGAGTTCAATTGGTAGCCATGGGAATTCCAATAGATTGTTTGAAGATCTGGTCACCAAAAACAACATAGATACTTTCAATCAAAAACTCAAGCATCTCTCTGATATCGACTTCAGAGTACCTGTGTGTACGATCAGAATGTTTATTCTTAATAAAATAATTTAGTAAATGACCAATTACAAGGTAAGTAAATTTAAGAGTTCAATTTTTATTGAAAAAGCAGCTGTCAATGATATCGTAAATTCTGGACGTTATAATTTATCGCGGGGAATGGTAGTGCATAAACTTGAAAAGTCGTAATTTTTTAAGCTGTTGATTTTGGTAGAATCTTGTGATTTCAATTTGTCTAAAAGTTCCTTGGACTTTTGGGGGGTATTCACATCTGATTTATGCAATTTCTTTACCATATATAGATTGGGAGTTGATTCTTAAATGAAATTTTACATTAATGTTTTGCTGAGCTTTTTGAGTTTTTTTTTAACAAATGTTTTTACCACCTTTGAAATAAGATAATTATATTTTTCAGGTCATGACAGACAACACGGAGAACTGTAACAATGCCCTCCAGAAGACGGCGTTCTGTCAGGGGAATCTAGACGTCAGTAACTTCCTCAATCTTCACTCTCTATCTAATCATGACGACTTCTGTCTGGCCTATACCTTTACCTACCGAGATTTTCTACAAGGGACGCTGGGACTAGCATGGGTCGGGTCATCCACAGGTATAATAAATGATTATCTCAAAACCTATTTGATATAAATACGTTCACAAGCAAAGCAGAAAACTGTCCATGAAATATATAAAGGTTACGAAAAGTTGTATTAAAGATCAAATGTCCATTAACTAATACAAAATTTGCAAGTAGTAAGTATCCCCTGACCGGTCACATCCGCCGATTGACAGAAAATAATTTATTGAATGTTTTTTTTTAATTCTTCAATTTTATTTTGAATTCATTCATTGTACATTTAATAGAATTTAGATCAATAATTCAAAGATTTAAAATTATCAATCATGGTAGAGAAAACTTATTATGACAAAATGAACTTTGACGTCAAGGCAAAACGAACTTACACATGATTTTGTGTAGCGCAGTAGAGAGTTCTTATCAATCTTATAGGACCTGATAAAAGAATTATAAAGGTATTTTTTCCTGAGTCGAAATAATTTTACGTACTTATATCGACCACAAACAATATTTATATTTACTTGTAGCATCGTCAGGTGGCGTATGTGAAAGACACAAATCTTACAGGGAAGGTGCTATTGATGTCAAAAAAAGTCTTAATACGGGAGTGGTTACTCTACTCAACTACGGCAAACGTGTCCCACCACGTATCTCAGAGCTCACATTCGCTCATGAAGTCGGACATAACATGGGATCTCCAGTAAATTATTTTCTTTCAGCACAAGAGTCTGCGTACCGATATATTCTTTCTTCTTTGGTTATTTCTATTATTAAAGCACCTTTACTTTAATTTGGATCTTTTTGAACATTGTAAACACCTAAATGGTATTGTTAAAGAAGATTACAACAATTTATAGCTTAATTTTTGAAGAAAATTTTATTGATTATATACCTCTAACGAGCCCTTTATACACTGCGGGCTAAATTTATCTTGTGGTATTTTATCCAGAAAGAGTTATTTTTCTTTAATAAAGAAAAACATATATTAAATGAAATGCACAGATTATTACTAATTTGGGATCAAATCAAGCATTCATAATATTTTAATAGTCCAAGATTAAATGATTATACTCCTCGTTTTCGGGCATTTTATCCACAAAAGTAAACAGTTGTTCACAAGTATTTTTTTGTCTTTGTTTTTTTTCCTTGGGGTTAACGCAAGGTGCTCTATCTTAAAAATGCAAAAGCTAGACACAATATTAACACCTTTACACACATTAGTTTGTAAATATCCCTCAAAATAATATAATTTACTTTTGTGCATACAAGGTTCTTTACAGTGAATGTTTTTAGTTTGTTCTAAAATTTGACAAATTTCAGTAGAAGAATTCTTTAATTTTTAAAACGTTAATGAATTCTAATATAAACGTTTATATAAAATATGTAAAAATAAATCAGTTAGTTCTTAAAAGCTGTGATATAAATAATTATAGTATTCTTTTTAGCACGATGACGGTAAAACGTGTGCTCAGACCACGCCTGACCAAGGAAACTATATCATGTTCGCAAGCGCCACAAAGGGAAACCTCCCAAACAACGACGACTTCTCTCTCTGTTCTAAAAATATCTTTACTGATGTCATCGCTGCTGTTGTTAATAAGAGGAATGGAAAGTACAACTGCTTTACACGTAAGTTAAAAATTCAAATACATTTATAAATTGTTTTGATTGAAGCATGTTATTGTTCTAAAAATACTGTAGATGCTTATACCTTTAAAACAATAGATCAAGAACATTGTTCAGAACTAGATGTTAAATAATTCCAAAAAGACCATATTGAAGGAAAAACATAAAGCCATTAAAAAAATTATATTCAAAAATTTAAATATGCTACTTTAGCAACACGTTACAGACAAAGATCTTGTAACTATTTACATATTCTTCCTCACTTTTAATTCGAATTCAAAAATAATTGATAGGCAGGGGATGCTCACTCTCCATGGTACCTGATCCAACCTCTGATGATTCGGAGGTCCGTGTTTTAAAATAAAAACATTTAATTTGTGTTAGTGTTTACATGTTTCTAATCATTTTCTGAAGTTAAATTACATCTCTAAATTGCAATATCATGACAACTTGAGTTTTAAAATTGACGTTATCTCGCCTACTACTACGTTGTAATGTTTCACAAAACAATTATTTATCAAGT